AAGCAAGGAAACATCACAGTGAGGTGAAAGAATATCTGGAGAAGATGAAGGAACAGATCCAAAATATGTATGAAGGAATGGGAAATTTTCAGCAAATGATAACAAAATATTCAGAAAATAGAGGACAAAATAGAAGAAACAGAAAAAGATAAAGAAGACGAATCAAAAGCTGACACAAGCAAATAAGGATCTTGAAGAAACAGTTATAACTCTCAAATGGAAAAAGCAGCCTACTATTTAAGATTTCAGGATATAGAGGAAGATAAAGAAGAGAACCTGCAAGTGCCCAAGAGACAAGAAACAAGAAATAGAGGAGAAGATAGTTGAAATGTTTAGAATGAACATGAGCTATGCAAGAAGACATAAAGTCCCAAGAGAAGTACGTGTCGAATTTATTAAAAAATGAACAAGAGATGAAATACTAAAAAGGGTAAGAGATGATCCATTGCAGTATAGAGGGAAAGAAGCTGTGGTGCTGAAGCAGATCCCTAGGAGGGTTAGAGATTTATGAAAATAATACCAGTTTTTGCTGTTGAACTGATTACAAGGGAAGTAACTTTTATATGGTTGGTGACAGAGGGAATACTAGTGAACTGGGATGGTAAGAGATATAGACTGGACTCATTAGAATTCTATGATAATTATATTGTTCCATATGAGGGACAAGAAATAAGAGAAGAATCTGAAGATTAGAGACAAGAGGAACTGATGGGAGAAGAGAAGAATGTACAACAAGCAGATGAAGAGGCAGAGAGAATAATACAAGAAGGACCGAGAGCAAAAGATCAGAGACAAATAATAACTAGGATTATAAGACCTATATACAACTAAATGAGATGGAGGGGGTAAATGAGATGTTATTATTAAACATAAATGGATTGAATTCTCCCATAAAAAGGAAAAAAAATTACACACCTACAAAAATGAAAAGCAGATATAATCTGTCCCCAAGATACTCACTTAAAAAGCAACACAGTCAACTATCGGAGTGCCTGAAATTGGGAAATTATATTTCACACCAGCATAAGAAAAGAAGAGAGGGGTAGGTCTATCTATCAAAGATACAGTAAATTCCAAACAAATATACACAGATGAAGAAGGAAGAATTTTAATGGTGGAGATAGTAATGAAGCCAAATAAGACACGATAGCATATTTATGACAATATTAGCAGAAAGAATGAAACCAATTTTGAGTGAACTTATACAAACAAGAAGAATTTTACCAAATGCTGTATAAGAAAATATTGGAAATGTCATATGAAAATATTTGTGTTGTAAGAGATTTCAATGCAATAGTGGATGAAAAACTAGACTATAGAAGTAGTGAGGGGGGGGGGGAGCAAGAAGGATACTCCCTAAGGCATTATTTCAAATAGTACAAGAAACTTGTATACTGGACTTATGGAGAGAAATGAACCCGGGGGGAAATCAATATACATTTTACTCAAATAGACATAAATCATGGCCCAGAACTGACATTATCTGGATGACTTCCAAACTAAGAACAAACATACAAGAGACAGGTAGAAACTAACATATGGGCTGACCACAACCCAATACAAATTACCCGGGTGGTGGTCAAGTGCTAAGACAGGATTTTCCTCAGATTCTCCCTCGCTGTCATTATACCTTCCTTCCTTCCTTCCTTCCTTCCTTCCTTCCTTCCTTCCTTCCTTCTCTTCTTTTTCCTTCCTTCTTCTAATTTCTTCTTCCTTCCCCTCTTTCCTTCTTTTTTCTTCCTTGGTTTCTTCCCATCTTTTCTTCTTTTTCTTTCTTTCCTCTTTCCCTTGTTCCTTTCCTGCCCCTTCTTGCATGCTCAAATGCAAAAGGGGAAACATTTTTCCTTTTGTTTTGTTTTTAGTTTTGCAAGCCCACTGCCAACCAAAATATTTTTGGCCTGGACGGCCTCCTGCAGCACTCCAGCAGCCAAAATGGGGTGCGGGGGATTGATGTTAGTCGATTTGAAATAAGAATGAAACCATCAGGAAAAATCAGCTTGCTAACAGTTTGGTTCTTTCCACAAGAAAAGAGTTAATAGAAGTCAACTCCATTGATGAGCAGGAAACAGAAAGCAAGTGTGGCAATTTGACTTTAGTTGAATTATGCATGTAAAAGCTGGGGAGGAAGATAATGAGCTCAGAAATATGACAAACAGCTTCAAGAATGAGGGTGCAAGTTCAGAAAGTAGTCGTAAAGACGTCAAGAGAGGAAAAAGAAAGAGAAGCAGAATCCAAGTCAATATAGGACTCCAGAAACCTCAGCCAAGCCAACAGTGCCTTTTCTGTGACAAGTAGAATCTGTTAAAAAGAAGGACATGTTTAATTACCTCTTTGTGGAATATAAACCAGAAAGGGGGTGGGGGGCATATGATTTTCTGAAAAGTCTCAGAAAGAAAAGAAAAATTAATTAAGAAGCAAAAGTCACAGCAGAAGAATGCAGAGGACATCCCAGAGGAAGGAAGAAAAGGAAATTCAGCCCAGAAAAGACAGCCAAGGAAACTGTCCAAGCAAGGAAAGAAACCCTTCTGGCTATAGGAAAAAATGACAACGTGCACCAACTAGAAAGTGCAGTGAAAAGTTAGGGTTAGAAAAAGGCTGAATGAGAGAAAGGAAAGAAATGCTGCTAAGGAGAACATCTTGCTTGACTAGTAGACAAAATTCAGATAGTCCTCTCAACAAAGCAAAATTAGGTGTCAAAGTTTCCCAACTCAGAAACCTCTTGAACCTGCCAGTGCACAGAATTATATTGTGCCCAATTTCACTGTCTTAAGAAATTGATTTCCTAGGTAACTGGGGTTTGTTATCCAGTCCACAGTTTGTGTTTTTAAACTGCTTTTCTCATTCCTATGCCATCCATATTTCTTCTGTGACAGTGTGTCTCCCTGCACCTTATATTTGGACTCCTCTCTCTTTGGCCACCTCCTTTTTTGAAAAAAAAAGTGATATCCTGGCCAATCCTTTTTCTTCTGATTGCTGCCTGTGTTCCCAACTATTTCCTTTCCCAACTATTTTCTTCCGCCACCCTGGCAGTCAAAATAGAGTACGTGGGAGGGGACACACAGGATGCCCCCCTGTGCCCTGTTTTGGCCCTGGACAGCCTCATCAGCACCCAGGAAGCCAAAATGGGGCATGTGGGCCCCATGCAATGCCCCTCACATCCTGTTTTGGGTACAGACAGCTTCCTCCAGCACTCTGGAAGCCAAAATGGCCTGAATGGCCTCCACCACCCTGGAAGCTGAAACAGGGAGCAGGGGAGGATGTGACACCACCCCCCCTGCACCCCGTTTTGGGCCTGGATGGCCTCCTCCATCACCCTGGTAGCCAAAACAGGGCACAGAGGGGGGGACATGACACCCCCCCGCACCCCGTTTTGGCCCTGGACAGCCTCCTCCACCATCCTGGAAGCCGAAACAGGGCCTGGATGGCTCCTCCACCACCCTGGAAGCCGAAACATGACATGTGATACTGTCAGGATTCTGGCAGTTACTCCAATTAACTCATACACCTCGAACAACACTCCCAACACTTGAAAGGATTCATTAGAAATTAACATACTGGCATTAGCCTGGGCGTAGCCAACTCTGAGTACGTAATTCACTGTCACCCTTGATCCTGCTTTTCCCCCCCATCCCTCTGGGTGTATCATCCAACGAAACGTGTCCATAGCCAAGAGTCATCAATCGTGCTCTCCAATTAGATTTTTGTGCGACAGAAGCCTGTGCCCCTTTTGGGACCTGTACGGCTTCCTCTACCAACATGGAAGCCGAAATGGGGCATTTCAGGGTGGAATGTGATGCCCCCCATGCCCCGTTTTGGGCCTGGACGACCTCCATCACCACCCTAGCAGTTGAAAGGGAGCAGGAGGGCTGTGCAACAACCTTCGTATCCCATTTTGGGCCTGGATGGCCTCCTCCACCATCCTGGAAGCCAAATCAGGGTGCAGGGGGGCTGCGTGATGCCCCCAATGCCCCATTTTGGGCCTGGACAACCTCTACCACCCTGGAAGCCAAAACAGAACAGGAGGCGCAACACCCCCTCCGTGCCCCATTTTGGGCCTGGAGGGCCTCCACCACCACCCTAGCAGCTGAAATGGGATGCACGGGGGCCATACAACACCTCCTATGCCCCATTTTGGGCCTGGACAGCCTTCACCACCTTTGCAGCCAAAACAGGGCATGGGGAGGCCGTGCGATGCCCCCCCCCCCCAAGCCCCATTTTAGCTAATAGAGGTACAGCAGGCTGGTCCTTTGCAATTTCCAGGCCAGCCCTACGGGCTAGATCTGACTCACAAGCCTTGATTTTGATGCCCCGTTTTAGAAGAACCAGTGGAATCTGGCTCTAAGTTAATGGAAAAAATAGAAGAATATGGAAAAGTTGCAGGACTGAAAATAAATAAAGATAAAACAAAAATGTTAGTTAAAAATGTCACAGAAAAACAAAAAAAGGAATTGACAAAAAATTAGACCTTCAGATAGTTAAGAAAGTAAAATACTTGGGAATATACCTAACAGCAAGATGTGTAACAATTAAAGATAACTATGTAAGACTAGTACAACAAATGAAAGAAGATTTGGAGAAATGGAAAAATCTGCAATTATCAATGGTAGGAAGGATTACAACTATAAAGATGAATATTTTGCCAAATATACTTTTTTAATTTCAAACAATCCCCATAGAAATAGATTTTTTTTTTTTTGATGAGCTGAATACAATAATTTTGAAATTCATTTGGCAAGAGAAAAAAGCAAGAGTAAGATTGTTTCATTTTTTGCTGGTTATTGTTTTTGTTGTTTTAACATATATGTCACCAAGATTTACTGAAACAATTGAGTTAGATTAATAATTAAATAAATACTAGATGCTGCAAAAATATATAGGTTTAGTCTTGATTAGCTGAAGTTTAATATAATGTGGACTGAATTATTTGTTTGAAACAATAATAACATTGTTTGGTGATCCATGAAGAATAACAAGTAATCGCGTTCTGTTTGTTTTTACAGGTGTCATAGCACGCCATCCCCTTTACTACCCATACCTCAAGAAAACATTAACTGCTTTGGCTGTAGAAGATTATTTCCATCATCTTTTAGAAAGAGAACGGCCTGAAGAAATCTTGGTATCACGGTAGGCACTCCTTGAATTCAATTTTTCATATAGTATTGTTTGATTACCGTATATACTCGAGTATAAGCCGAGTTTTTCAGCCCATTTTTTGTGCTGAAAACCCCCCCCTCAGCTTATACTCGAGTCAGATTCCCCTCTGAAAAAAAAATGGTGTGGAGCTCCGGAGCTGGGCAGGCGCTTCCCTGCTTCCGTGTTTCCTTTGCAACTTTTAAGCATGGGGGTAATCGGAAGCAGAAAAGTTCTTGCATGAGGATATATTGTTTTTTCTTTGTTTAACTGTTTTTAGGGGGGGGGAAAGACCCACCGTCATGTGAGAATGCTCAGACACGAAATCTATCCGCCCGAAAATAAGTGTGTGTGTGTGTGGGGGGGGGGGAATTTTAACAGAGGGAAGATGTAGGGAGAAGGCAAAAGCGACGGAAGATCCTTCAGGGGAAACTGAGGGGGAGACTCACCCTTGGTCCAGATGAGCCCCCTTCCCCGCCCCTAAGGAAGCAGAGGCAGCCAGCAAGGGCAGGCAGGCCCCACTTCACAGACTCTGTCCGTCCTCGCTCCCACCCAAAGCCACGAAGTCCCCCAATCGCGCAGCCCAGAATCACCCTCCCCTCAGGGGGCAGCAACGACGCCCGGTTTTTCCTGAGACAAGAAGCTCCGCCGTGCAATGAAAGCGCCCTGGCTCTAGGCTCGCGGGCTCAGAAAACAACGCGAGCCGAGGTGGCTTCGGCTCCGCTCGGCTTCTCCAACATCCGGCACCGCCCTGTTCTATGTGCCGGGCCAGGCAAGTCCGAGCAGCCAGCGCATGGAGCAGGACGGCGCCAGAGATCGTTGGCTGCCTCTTTCGCAGCACGGGAGGCCTCCCCCGGCTGGCCAGCT